ACTGAGCATGTTACCTTGCATTGGTGCTCTCCTTTCTTTCTTGGATTTCTCTTCATTGGTATCTCATGCCAAATACTGTCACCTCTTATTGTGCAATGCTGGTAGAGCCACTGCAGAGCCGTTTGGCATTGATAATATCTTGGCGTTGTTTCATAAACTGTCTTCACTGTTTGAACCTGCTTGGTCCTTCGGCCACATTCTTTCTTTTCTTTCCTCTTCTTGGTTTATGGTGTCCCTTTCAATCTGGGATTCCTTTCTGAGGTGCTTCTTTTGGTGGCTCTTGCCTCCGGTTGTCGAGTCGGGGGGCTTCAAGCTCTCCTCAGGAGGCTGGGTTTTTGTTCTGTTGGCCCTGGTGAGCAATTTTGTTTGCAGACAACAACAACTTTTCTGGCAAAGAACAAGTTAGTTGGCTTCCAGAGGGATCATTTGATTATTGATGCTTGGTTGGTTCAGCATGGGGTTCTCATCTTCATAAATGTTGTTTCTGTTCTCTCTGGTAAGCCTCTGTTTTTCTTTTTCTCCATTGTTAGTTAACTTTCAGGATGCACCATTTGGCCACTCCAAAAAACCTGGATTTATTGTAATGAAATGCCTCTTTCTGGAAGATCCTTAATGGTTCTGTGATTCCCTCTCCCTCTACCTGGTACGTCTGTTCATGGTCCTTCAGCTCCAGAGTGGATCAAAGTTGTCGCAGAGGTTGGGAGCTCCCAGTTGTGCTGCTATCTCTTGGTAGTCAGTCATAGCTAAGGAGTTGCGGCTAGTTTCGAAGTGACATTATCACAGTCATTTCATTGTTTTAGTGTTTCATTTTCATTGAACCTTGCAGTTGTCTGTATTGGTTCACTTACTTTCTGGATGTTTTCTCGATGAGGGTGATAATAAAAATCCCTTGCTCTCTGTTCCTCTGTGAGAGTGGATAGGTTTTGGCTCTGGTCCCTGGTAGGCCAGCCAGGACTCCTAAAGCTGATGTGCTAAATCTATGGAAAGCTATCTCATCGAGCTACCTTCAAGAAGCCACCAATTCCCCATCAGAAAGAGGCATTTCATTACATTCCATGCTGGTTTTTGGGTTTTGATTCACTATAGGTAGTATGCAGAGTCACAGTGTAATTTTATAATTAAAGTGGTCGGGCAAAGAGGCCTGTATTTTAGGCTTATTGAAATCATCCTTGGCCCCTAACCCACAACAGTTCCCAAACACTCAGGCACATATTTCCTGCTAGTTGAACACACATATCAAGTGAAAGGAAATGTGATTCTCTTACTGGAGTTAGAACCCTTGGTTGTGATCTGAGGACATTGACCACCGTGCAACAGTGAATGAATGTAACTTTGTTGCAGCTGTAAGATGGCTTCTTCAGTAGCTCCCCAGAGTTTAAAACAATGACTCTACAATGCTACCCCTCAAGTGCTAGGCTCCTGAGACTGTCTTAGCCTACCAAGAGCCTAGACCAACACATGTTCCCTCTTAAAGAGGCATGGGAAACTCTCAGGAGTTATTGCAGTCCCCGTGGCATAGTGGTAACACACTCGCCTGATGCTTCGCGAGCGGTTTGGCCTGGGTTCGTATCCTGGCCGGGAAGGATAGATTAGGTGCCAATCCTTGACTATATGCCTCTGTTCACCCACCAGTGAACGGGTGCCTGGTTGTTAAATAATTTGGTGGGTCTTATACCAGAGGAAAATTACGATTAAAGACCTGCCCAAAACACTAATCATGCTATTGGCTTTACAAGAATGTAAAAACTCTTGTATATATAAATTAAAAATAAACAAAATAAAATAAATCCACAAATTAAGTGAGCAACTCAGAAAGTTGAACATTAAATCAAAACCCTGAACATCATTTTGAGAAGGATGGAAAGGCCAAATAGCCCACTCGATTGTTGAAACAAGCAACTGCACGTTCCCTAATTCTTGCAGGTGGCATGTGGTCACCCAGGGTCTTAGCTGACCACTCTCTTTACTATCTCACCTGTGTGTCACTATACTCAACTGCACTCTTGCTGTAGAACAAGTAAATGGTTGGGCTTTCTGTAAGACTGTCCAATGCCATAACTTGTTATACATTTTACGTGTGTCTTTGCCAACTACTTCGGCTCAATAGTTTCAGGGTTGTCTTCTCTGGTGCCACCAGTGAACCCATTTAACCACCTGATTTACATCATTGAGATTTTCAGGTCCCTTTCTTGGATCAACTCCTTTTGAGTCTTGTCCTTTCCAAGTAGAGGATTGGACTTGGTTACCAAGGGTGAGGCCTGTGATTGAGAACCTTTAGTTAGCTTGGCTTCTTGTGTGTGTTGTGCTCTGTCCTGAAAGCAGGAGTCAAGGTCCTTGGCTTTTAAGTAGGTGTGCACTTGAAACTTGAACTAGGTGATCATTCCTTCAATTTGTGAGTGTAACCTTTACTCTAGTGACTGTATTCTTCACTCTGGTGACTGTAACCTTTACTCTGGTGACTGTATTCTTCACTCTGGTGACTGTATTCTTCACTCTGGTGACTGTATTCTTTACTCTGGTGACTGTATTCTTCACTCTGGTGACTGTATTCTTCACTCTGGTGACTGTATTCTTTACTCTGGTGACTGTATTCTTCACTCTGGTGACTGTATTCTTCACTCTGGTGACTGTATTCTTTACTCTGGTGACTGTATTCTTCACTCTGGTGACTGTATTCTTCACTCTGGTGACTGTATTCTTTACTCTGGTGACTGTATTCTTCACTCTGGTGACTGTAACCTTCACTCTGGTGACTGTATTCTTTACTCTGGTGACTGTATTCTTCACTCTGGTGACTGTATTCTTCACTCTGGTGACTGTATTCTTTACTCTGGTGACTGTATTCTTCACTCTGGTGACTGTATTCTTTACTCTGGTGACTGTATTCTTCACTCTGGTGACTGTATTCTTCACTCTGGTGACTGTAACCTTCACTCTGGTGACTGTAACCTTTACTCTGGTGACTGTAGCCTTTACTCTGGTGACTGTATTCTTCACTCTGGTGACTGTAACCTTCACTCTGGTGACTGTAACCTTTACTCTGGTGACTGTATTCTTTACTCTGGTGACTGTATTCTTCACTCTGGTGACTGTATTCTTCACTCTGGTGACTGTAACCTTCACTCTGGTGACTGTAACCTTTACTCTGGTGACTGTAGCCTTTACTCTGGTGACTGTATTCTTCACTCTGGTGACTGTATTCTTCACTCTGGTGACTGTAACCTTCACTCTGGTGACTGTAACCTTTACTCTGGTGACTGTAGCCTTTACTCTGGTGACTGTATTCTTCACTCTGGTGACTGTAACCTTCACTCTGGTGACTGTAACCTTTACTCTGGTGACTGTATTCTTTACTCTGGTGACTGTATTCTTCACTCTGGTGACTGTATTCTTCACTCTGGTGACTGTAACCTTCACTCTGGTGACTGTAACCTTCACTCTGGTGACTGTAACCTTCACTCTGGTGACTGTAGCCTTTACTCTGGTGACTGTAACCTTTACTCTGGTGACTGTATTCTTCACTCTGGTGACTGTAGCCTTTACTCTGGTGACTGTAACCTTTACTCTGGTGACTGTATTCTTCACTCTGGTGACTGTAGCCTTTACTCTGGTGACTGTATTCTTCACTCTGGTGACTGTATTCTTCACTCTGGTGACTGTAACCTTTACTCTGGTGACTGTATTCTTCACTCTGGTGACTGTATTCTTCACTCTGGTGACTGTAACCTTTACTCTGGTGACTGTATTCTTCACTCTGGTGACTGTAGCCTTTACTCTGGTGACTGTAACCTTTACTCTGGTGACTGTAACCTTCACTCTGGTGACTGTAGCCTTTACTCTGGTGACTGTAACCTTCACTCTGGTGACTGTAACCTTCACTCTGGTGACTGTAGCCTTTACTCTGGTGACTGTAGCCTTTACTCTGGTGACTGTATTCTTCACTCTGGTGACTGTAGCCTTTACTCTGGTGACTGTATTCTTCACTCTGGTGACTGTATTCTTCACTCTGGTGACTGTAACCTTTACTCTGGTGACTGTATTCTTCACTCTGGTGACTGTATTCTTCACTCTGGTGACTGTAACCTTCACTCTGGTGACTGTATTCTTCACTCTGGTGACTGTATTCTTCACTCTGGTGACTGTAACCTTTACTCTGGTGACTGTATTCTTCACTCTGGTGACTGTAACCTTTACTCTGGTGACTGTATTCTTCACTCTGGTGACTGTATTCTTCACTCTGGTGACTGTATTCTTCACTCTGGTGACTGTAGCCTTTAGCTTTATCTTGCCCTTGTTAAGCCTTATTTTGATTGCTGTTCAGTTTTGGTATTAGAGTGCTACACGAGGATCCTGAGGGCAGGATCCTCGTGAGGGCAGTAGCCCTCGTGAGACACCTTGTGAGGACACCTCGACACCTTGTGAGACACCTCGTGTGACACCTCGTTAGGCTTCACTAGAAGTCTAACCGAGGTGTCACACAATTCCCTTGATTAGCGAAACACCTTTCAAACCGGGGTGTGAAACCCCGATTAGGCTTCAGTAAAAGCCTCGGGATCCTCATGAGGGCACTCCAGGTTGTGATTCCTTTGACCATGTCATGGTACAGTTGACTGAGGTGCATCTGTGTACACTCAGTGCGTAGGTTGGAACCCTCGTCAACTCAGTGCGTAGGTTGGAACCCTCGTCAACTCAGTGCGTAGGTTCGAACCCTCGTCAACTCAGTGCGTAGGTTCGAACCCTCATCAACTCAGTGCATAGGTTCGAACCCTCGTCAATACCCTTGTGCTGTTCATTTGATGTACGTGTATCACGTTTTTGTGATTTCTGTGTGTATTATTATTATTGAGAAAATCCGTAGGAGCAATGATGATGATTCGAACCTATGCAGGTGGGGGTGTTCCCACAGGCCACTGATACATTACATTATTAGTGTGATTACTCTCTGATTATTATTATTATTATTATTATTATTATTATTATTATTAATTTATTTATTTTAGGTCCTTCCACTTCTCGTTGAGCAGTTTGAAGCCAGGTGTGAAGAGACAGCAAGGAGAAATACTATGACAATACTTGGGAAGTTTTTGAATAGTGGAGCAAAGTTCCCACATTTAATTGAAGGTAATTTTATTGTAATACTTTTTGCATTTTGTAGGTCTTCTTCATCTTGCCCCAGCACATGAAAAAATGAGTGAATATATACCTCTTGATTTTTGGGATTGATGCCAGTGAGAATTGGCTTAGTACAGTATTGGGGATTGGCTGGGGATAAGAGTGGAACACATCTGTTATCACTTAAGGGCTCGTCCTTTTGGTCTGAACTTTATGCTTAGAATTTTTACCAGACTTGCTCAGGTGGTGCTTCATTGCTAACATCGTTCAGTAGGGAGGCAAAGGTGCTAACCAAATTGAAGATGAGTTAACTGACAGGTGCAGTGGCTGCAGAAGGAGGAGGAGGAGGTAAATTAGCACAAGTAGCCATGATCATGCAGTATACTTCCTTCTCATCGGAAGGAGTATCATCAGTATTTGCTTCCTTCCGGAGCCGGTGGCTGAGCGGACAGAACACTGTACGCGTGATCCTGTGGTCCCGGGTTTGATCCCGGGTGTCGGCGAGAGACGATGGGCAGAGTTTCTTTCACCCAGATGCCCCTGTTACCTAGCAGTAAATAGGTACCCGGGAGTTAGTCAGCTGTCACGGGCTGCTTCCTGGGGGTGGAGGCCTGGTCGAGGACCGGGCCGCGGGGGCACTAAGCCCCGAAATCATCTCAAGATAACCTCAAGATAACCTCAAAGAACATTGTGGGCTCAAACTTGACACCACTCTGATCAGAATATGGCTGTCAAATGTGAATTGTTGAAGGCCCATCCGACAATGGAACCGCTGCTGTTGAAGACTACAGTCTCTCACTAGCACTCAGAAAACCTACACCCAGCTGTATCAGGTCTAAACACAGGCACTGCCATACCCACTGCTAAGAATGGGATCTGAGGTCCCATTCACCTAAAACCGGCAATTAACTGGCACCTAAACCGGCATAAATCAGTAGGGAGCATCTTGGCGATGTTAATGCCATTTCCTCCTCCTTCCTTTTTGCCACTGGGGTGAAGGAAACCATAAGATGCCAGGGTCATTTAGTCAACCCTGCAATACAAATACACCTTTAGTCAAGCATCCATAATGGCTCTCTAAGAAGGAGTAAGAGGCTAAACACACTACCTCACAGCCAAGAATAATCAATCCTCATCAACAGGAATTTTTAAGGAACAAAATTCCATACACAAACTAGGAGGCCTTGCAGAAAAGGAAACTGGAAGATTACAAGGGAGATAACCCTGGAGGCCAGAGGCATTGACAGCCTGCTACCAGAGAGGGTAACCTGGGAGCATGAGCTATACAGGCTGGCTACGAGGGAACATAACCCTGGAGGCCAGAGGCATTGACAGCCTGCTACCAGAGAAGGTAACCTGGGAGCATGAGCTATACAGGCTGGCTACGAGGGAACATAACCCTGGAGGCCAGAGGCATTGACAGCCTGCTACCAGAGAGGGTAACCTGGGAGCATGAGCTATACAGGCTGGCTACGAGGGAACATAACCCTGGAGGCCAGAGGCATTGACAGCCTGCTACCAGAGAGGGTAACCTGGGAGCATGAGCTATACAGGCTGGCTACGAGGGAACAATACTATATTAATTAACATACTCTATTAGGTCAATACACTTCCAATACCCATAGACCACTTGACCTCCGCGATCACCACCCACACTCGTAACTTCCGCCTAAGTCCCTAATACGGAATGATTACTACAACGCTCCACACCCGGTTAGTCTTACATTCAATACTCACATACTGCAGACTTAACTTGGTCACTAAGATCACAACAGGCTCTCGCATAGCTGTCTGCTACACTTCGCTGCTGCCACAACCGGGGATCCAAAAGGACTTGCTCGTTCAACTTCCACAATCAGACTGCTCCAGTCAGCCATCTCCCTCAACCATTTCACCCCACCTCTCAAGGAAGGTATAATCCGATTAACCTTATCCCTAGAGAGGTAATCTTGTTCCTAGAAGCCTGACGAAGAATAATTCCTCTTTCCAGGAATTAATCATTTGGCTAAACAGCTTCGGTCTTAATCCATTGACCTTTCTTAGATATGTGATCCATAGTCTGTCTAATTACATGAACTTCCAATCATCATTCGTTAAGTGTTGTAGTAATGATCCTCTAGCTAATAATTCCTACTAACTTGTGGATTACAACACCACTCCCCTCCTTAAACACGCATATGTCCCCATATGCATCATTGCAATGGTTCCATTAGTGTAAGGACCTGGAGGATGCACCCACCATATGTGTACAACTAAAAAATCATCCAATAAGTTCATCATACACACGATGAACTAAATTAAAATTTTCCCCGACATGACTCCCAACACTTCTCCAACATATACATTATATTCACATCATAGCACAGGTAAAATAGTCTGTAATAATTTTTCCCATCTCCAACAATGCACATATACCTAAACTGCTGACATATAATTACATACAAACATAACCATAAAATTACATGGACCAGAATGCTGGCACTTAAACAGAAATGACACTAGTCATTAATATATACACAACACATATATATCTAAGGTTCTTCATCCTTAGTAATTATAATTTAACATCTTGCCCTGTACTGTTGACATAAGGGCTTACAATGATCACACAATGTTTCACTGGCCTCCTCCACAATTGGCAGCATCACTTCTCTTGTCTTTGTGTCCCATGGTTGCTAGGTCATAGATCCTCCATGACCCAGACAAAACCCAGGCTGTCCAGCCTGGTGAATGTTGTTAATGTCCCATCGTTGCTCTGAGGTAACGTGATCCTGGCCTCCAGAGCAACGGAGATTCCTACCCCAGGGTCATGTCCCCTTGGGTCTGTGCTGACGTCTCGTTCCAGGGCACCAATCCCAGAACGCTGTAGATCCCTCACAGCTCTCTGGACTAGGCCCATCCGCCCAGAGTGTGTCCACCTGTATTCACACCTTCCCGACCGCTGTACCTGCAAAATATTCCCTCAGAGCCCCCTGGCTCGATCCCATTATTACATAACCCCCTCGGCTCCTTACTCTCTCCCCGTATATAGCCTGAGCGCAGCTGCAAAACCATTGCAGCTGGCCCTTATCCCTGCTTTGATGTCAGGGGGCGAATTTCGCCTATAACGTCACATTGGCTTCACTTCCACCCCCTTTTTTTCTAGAATAACTGAGTGTAGCCTCATAGCTTCCCTTCTACTCTACCTGAAGCTCTGTGACATGATCCCGGGGGACCTTCTCAAGCCTAACACTCAGTAATGGTGCCGATGAGGTAATATACAGTATATACATACACATACATTATCACAATAAATACCTCATTAAAATAATTTCACACTTATGTCACTAAAACATCATACTGCCACTGGCTCGCCTCTAGCGAGATTCCTGTAACAACTTAATAAGAAATTAGTATATCTACTTCGCTCGTCCACTGCAACCACCAACACCTGAAATTTTGAAATTCTACATTATAATCTTATCCATAAGACTTACCCACTCCGACACACCATCACCTCTGGTCGACCCAACCACTGATGACCTCATTATAACACCACACTCCATACCAGGCGTCCAAACGCCACAACACTACACCACCCACTACACATGCTACTCTACACCACACTCTACACACTACCATGCCCATGCACCACTACACACCACACTCTACACACTACCCCACACTCTACAAAAACTACCATGCCCATGCACCACTCAACACCACACTCTACACACTACCCCACACTCTACAAAAACTACCATGGCCATGCACTACTCTACAGTACATACTATGCTCCTTCTGTGTTCATGACCCCACGAGAGCGGGTCGGATAGCGATGTGTCACCGTCGCCTGTGGACCTTGTCCTCGGTCCTGCGAAGGCTGCTCTGTGTTATCTACCCTTGATTGCCAACTCCTCGTACCCCTACCTATGTTCTCAGCCGCTGGCGTGCTCTCCCCTGGCACACTCCCCGTAGGGTATGGCTCCTCACTTGCCTGACCGGTCAGTGTATAGACGCGGTCTGGGTGACAGGAGAACACATGCCCTGTGTTTAGCACCTTAACCTTCACTTCTGCATTCTTTTTGCTAATTACCCGACATGGCCCCACAAACTTGGGTGCCAACTTACCTTCTGCCTGAGCGTGCATCTGCTTCACGAATACCCTATCACCTTCATTGATCACCTTTGCTTGGACCTTGTTCCGCGCATTATAATATGCCTCTGCTACCTCTGTCGACTTTCTTAAATGTAGTTTCACCAAGTCAAATGCCTTGGTTGCTCGCCTACAGACAACACTTTTGAAGTCTAACGCATAGCATGGCGGTTGCTTGCTTGTGAACGTCGTGAACGGAAGTCGGGGATCGAACCCATGCAACAAAAAATGCGGGGTTTCTCCCACCGACCTATTGAACGCCGTGTTGAGCGCCGACTCCACCATCGACAAACTCTGATCCCATGCAAGCACATCATCAGCAGCCAAATGCCGCAGAATACTGATTACTTCAGCATTGTGTCTTTCAACCAAACCATTCGCCGATGGTCGATATGCCAGCACTGGAGTATGTTTGAATTGATACACACTCGCGATGCTTTGAAATACTTGATTGATAAACTCTGACCCTTGGTCTGACACAACTTGTTGAGGAGCCCCAAACCTGGTTAACACACTTTCCACCATGGCCTGGGTCACATCCTCTGCCGACTTAGAACGGAGTGCACTCACCACAGTGAACCGTGTGAGTGCATCCACTGCTACAAATATGTACCTCGCCCCTGAATGAGCTTGTGGTAGCGGCCCAATGAGATCTATGTGTACTCTCTCGAAGGGAGTACTCACCTCCGGCCACCTACGCAAAGGTTCCGCCCCCAACCTATGTGCCTTGTACCTCAGACAACTGTCACAAGAGGCTACATAGACCTTGATATCTTTACCCATGGATGGCCAATAGAACCTTTGACGTGCCCTCTGCAACGTCTTGGACTCCCCTCCATGGCCTGCTGCTGGGATGTTATGACACAGATACATT